CTCATCAAAAATACTATCCTACTACCTTAATTCATTCGATTTATTTGAAAATTTCTAATGTTTGTTATCAATAGCATATTTTTAAAATGACATTACCGGTACTACGCATTTTGTAATATCAATAGTTATTCCTGGAAATCTTCAATAGTGATGTATCTGTAATATATTTATTTATTTAGCACTTTATTTAAAGGGGGTAGGCCAATATACAATAAATATAAATTTCATTGGGCCCTCTGTAGAAACAAAATACACAATATACACACTCTCGGCTTGAGCCATTTCCAACAAATTTTTCACCAAGATATATTTTGTAAAGTTTTCCTAAAAATGCCTAATGAGGCTGAATTTCTGATATGGGGTGATATGTTATTCCATCGGGTTACCCCTCTATACTGAAACGTCCTCTGGCTCATGGATGTTTTCCATTTAGTAATGCATACATTATTTTTAAGAGAGGAACGTGTACTATACTTGTGGCTTTGGGAGATAGGACTGTTGTTCTGTCAACATTTTCTGTAGGCTTTTGTTGAGACAGTAAGTTTCTTTGCCATTTACATGTATAACAAATAATTAAAAAGTACCGTAATGCATTTGAGGTTGAAAATGTTCTCATTGACCTTGCAACATTGTATGTTTCATTCACTGAAGAATGCTACACGGTTATATTATTAAAGTTTTTAAAATAGTAATTTGAAAAGTTTTCATGTAAAACATATCTACTTTGAATATAATGCATCTTTTTTCAGGACACTGATAAATGTACCGCTTTACTGGAACTACTCACAGTGCTACCTGAAGAGGTAAGATTGCTTGTAATCTAAGACAAATGAAAGGGCAGATAAATATAAGGGTTCTCAATTTCATTCATTAGGAATACTATATAATAGTGTGTATGTTTGAATGTAGTGGGAAATAAAAAATAATATGAACAACGTAGGTGTGTATATTGTTGACATCACTAGATACTGTCAGCTGGACCCAGGTATTGAGTTTTCAACGTAGTGTACTATAAAAGGGTTAATTATTCACTGGGTTTTAATTTTGCTTATTTCGCTGACTGGAAAATGCGCTAAATTAAAACCCAGTGATTATGTGAAATTTTGCATAGAACACATTATCTAAATGATAAAACCGTGAATTTGAAACCCACTGAATATGCCTGAAATGCTAAATCAGCGAAATTTAAACCCAGTGAAAATTAATCACTTTACAGTACTATATGTACCGGTACTGGTAAGTAGAGTGACATTGATTTTCTATGCAAAAATCATCAAAATCTGCATATTCTAGCGATATAAACCGTGAATGTGTAGACTGGAAAATTTTCAATAGTTACTAATTTGATGTTGAAAGTATCAAGAAGGTGACTAACTTTTGTTATGACACAAATTTTTGGACAGCAGGAACAATTCATACAAATCAAGTACAATTTAGATGTTATCGATTTACAAACAAACTATGTTTTAATAATAATTTTACATAACAGCATTGAGTGCTGTAATTTCCAGCCTGAAATGTTTTAAAATATAACGCATAATATTGATAACAACTTTAGTATTTGGCATTTATGACTGTTAGAAATTCTGGGAGGGGATTTATGAGCTAGATTGTCCATGTTATTTATGTCTTTTTTGTGTACCAGTACTTTTCCTCGTGATTCTTTTGAACACAAGTTAAAGCACATGTTTTTTTCTCAGTTAACTGCATAGGAGAGATGAAATCGAAATGGAGATTTTTATCATCGGTTCTCGAAGTAACTTTCCATGATTTATATAATTTTGTTTGTGTGATGATAGTATATACAATTTATGTTGTCAACATCACAAAGAATAAGTCTTGGAATGTTTATTTATGAAAATTTGTATGCAGTAAAAACAATTTTGAAGACCGATGTTTAAAGTGTTGTTTTTGTTTGTATTTGAGTCAAATGAAGTAAGTGTATTTTAATAGCAAATTCCATGCAATTATTAAAAACAGACCTTCAAGCCAAAAGTGTTAATTAACTGGTTTTAGTCAGAGTGTGAACTTTTAACTGACTGGGCTTCTTTGTTTGAAGTTTTCCCCAGTCTACTCTTCTATGCTTCGTGCTGTTAAAATATGAAAGTTTTGTTGACTTCATGTGAAAACAGTTGATACCACTGTAGTGGTCTATTTGTTTGGTCAAGGCATTCAACTTACTTAGTATGTACTATAAAATCTGTGTTAGAAGCCACGGCTTCAATTAAAATCATACAATGATACAATGCAACAGAGGAGGTGCGGCTTCTACAAGTGCATCTACACATATGAGAAATGATGAATGTTTGGTTCTCAATTATTCAAAAACAATAGCTGCGACTTCTATTAGGGATACAGCTTCTAATACAGATTTTACGGTAGTAGGGTGGCACTGGTAATATTTAGTGAGGTGACATGTTCCAATGTTGTTCTCATCTTTTTACTACTTCATAGTCTACTGATGAGTGGTTTCATGCTTTATGCAGCTGTAATGTCTCGACAGGTTACAGATGAATGTAAAGGTGGATGAAATAGAGATCTCATTAAAATCACCCTCAATTATTGCACTATGCACAAGTTTAATTGTATTTCAAAATTATAGCTTCATTAAGAATGAACTTGATTGATAAAGTTACTGATTGTTATTAAGGGAGGCGTATTTGACAGTTGCATTCTCACTTTGTATACACTAACCCCTGAAGCATCATGGGAAATCTTATCTAACAGAAATTGAATTTAGAAAGTAAATGGCCTTGAGTGACTACTAATATGAAAATTGTGATACTAGGACTTTCAGTACCCTCGGGGCGGAGCTACGTCACGGACGTTCTACGTTGCTAAGACGCGCACCACTGTACAACGTATTTCCATGGGCTTTGTGCGCGCTGCTGTGGGACGCCGGTGGAGCCGGTGAAAACTCGAGAAAAGAACACAAACTCAACTTTGAAGTAATCCTGAACAACCAAATTCATATATGTTACACACTGTCACACAATTAAATGCAATGAAACTATCGTATTTGAATATTCACAATACTATTTTAATACACACGACACTATTACAAACGCGTTAAATAAATACAATTCAGGACGTGACACATTCAATGTCCTAACCAGGGTACCCCCTGATCAAAACAGGGATAAATTAAACGATTCTATACTATATAATGAGTGGTCGACACAACTCAACAAACCGAGATTACATTAAATTAACAATATCGCTAGCGCACAAACAAATGACAAGTACTGGTTTCAATAAGCTCACAATATAACAAGTAATTGTCCTACACAACAATTAATAGAGCGACGGCGTTGCGGCGTGTATACCGGTTCCTTTGTGACTTCTTCCACGTCAGCTTTGCTAGGATTCGAACCTAGACACCTCATTCCATTACGAGTGTGCCCCCGTTACACCACCAGTTACGTAGTAGTTCACTAGAACGCAGACTAGTAACACAATGTACACGTCAGCTTCTACCCGGTGTCCCAGTAGTCTTTGTTGACACCACGGTACCACGTTTCCAAAGCGTGCTCCACACCACACGGTTGTCTAAGAGCAAATAAACGCATGACAATAGCAAAGTAATTTACTCCTTATGATAATAAGCGTATTCGGGGCATATAATATTACGTACAACAATAGGCAAGGTTCTGTCTCACCAACCACTGTTGCGACTGTTGACACGAGGCCAAGGCTTCATTCAATAGATCGGGTAACTCGTTCAGTTCAGTTCAGTTCAATTCAATTCCATTTAAATTACAGGTCACTTACTTGCCAATGACTTTAAACCAGAGTTTCCACTGTAACTTGACTCACAGTGAACATTACCATGGCCGACCTAAACTGACGGCAACGATCGTACAGCAAGCATGTACTCTCCAACAACCTCTGGCAAAAGTGCCCGACCACACGCATGTGTGAAGTTTAAATATGTTAATTAATTCCATAACCCCAGGTGGTTCCAACAATCAATGCACTAGTGGCAACACGCCATCTGGTTTGCATTGTCCAATCACGTATAATACATCACTACGTTACGTGCACCCAATCACGAATATAAATTAAATACCAAAAGTGTGACACACACATAGGGCTAATCTTGTTACACTGTTCAGGGGACTCTCATCAACCATCGCAAAGTACCGTTTTCTGCGAGTTTTTGGCCTTGAGTGACTACTAATATGAAAATTGTGATACTAGGACTTTCAGTACCCTCGGGGGCGGAACTACGTCACGGACGTTCTATGTTGCTAAGACGCGCACCACTGTACCACGTATTTCCATGGGCTTTGTGTGCGCTGCTGTGGAACGCCGGTGGAGCCGGTGAAAACTCAAGAAAAGAACACAAACTCAACTTTGAAGTAATCCTGAACAACCAAATTCATATATGTTACACACGTAGGGTTAATCTTGTTACACTGTTCAGGGGACTCTCATCAACCATCGCAAAGTACAGTTTTCTGCGAGTTTTTGGTCTTTGTTTTCACTGCGATGGTTGCCAGGCGGTAGAAAATGCCCGGATGTCCGCCCCGAGGACAGGCTAGCTTCAGTCCATTTCAAGATTTGTAGCCAAACCAACTAATTTTCACATTTCTCATGGTGATCAAGTGGGAATGTGACTTTAACCTTTTGCATCTTTTAGTTTAGCATAGAAATGACCATAGACCAAAACTTGCATTAATTGTACTGTAAAATGACTAATTTTCACTGGGTTTAAATTTCACTGATTTACCATTTCAGGCATATTCAGTGGGTTTTAAAGTCATGGTTTTATAATTCAGATAATGTGTTATATGCTCCATTTTACATATTTTACATATTCACTCGATTTTAATTTAGCGCATTTTCCAGTCAGCGAAATAAGCAAAAGCAGTGAATAATTAACCCTTTCACAGTATTCTGAATAATTTGATCATAAACATACTTCTGTTATATATGTAAGCACACACTGTACTAATAGAGCATTTACAGCATGCATGCACTAATAGTATATACTAATGTTTAATTTGTTGTTTTCAGTTTCACACTTCGCCAATGTTACAGTCAAGAAGGGGTCATGTTAGACATGAACTGCAGCAAGGTATTCAGTGTGGTAGGTTTATTACATTATTGCGAATGTTTTCAATTTTTTGTCAACTCTGGAAGCATTCCTTAAAGTTTTTATTCTCTAACTGTCATTTTGTTTTCAGTTTTGCCACTGCTTGAGAGGTTACTGACAACAGAATCACCAATGGCGATACAACAGCATGCATTGAAATGTTTTTCCAGCTGGGTCATGTTTGGTATTCCTCTCACTGATATTGAAATGATGATTCAGATGTTATTCCGACTGATCCACAATCCAGATCTCTTTGATATATGTGTGGATGCTATTGTCAATGTTGTGTGCAATCCCATTGCATATAAGTAAGTACCGGTACTGCAAAATGACCAATTTTTGCTGGGTTTAAATTTCACTGATTTACCATTTCAGGCATATTCAGTAAGTTTTAAATTCACGGTTATATCATTTAGTTTATGTGTTCTATGCTGAATTTTACATATTCACTGGATTTTAATTTTAATTTAGCGCATTTTCCAGTCAGCGAAATAAGCCAAATTAAAACCCAGTGAATAATTAACCCCTGTACAGTATAAGGTATTCTCAACAACCCATGAGTGTAGACAAAAATTTGTCTGTTGATTTTTCATGAATTAAAACTTAGAAAAAAAAGATTGCAACTTATTCACATTTAACTGACATGTGTGATGACCGTAGATCAGTGATTATGATTTAATATAAGTTATTTTCTGAATTGTGTACACTTTCTTCTTTATACAATTGTTTCAACAAGAATTAATACACAAACAAAAACAGAAAAACACAGTTTTGAGATTGTATTGTGTCTATGAACCATGTGAAGACCACATATTTATTATATTCAAGGCTGTATTCTGCAATTTCATTCATTTTCTCTGTAGCTATCCAAATGGAATACTTAAAATGATTCCCCAGGCTTTACTTCTTAGAGAGAAATTCAATTCTGCTGTTGATGAGAAGGATGCGGTTAGTATAACTACATTTTGTTTGTTTACAATGTGGTTTTAATGTTTTTGTTGAAATTCCATGCACTGTTTCATTCACAACATAGTGTTCATTAGGAAATAAGCATGTTGGAAAGCTATCCCCAGTTGTTACTGGTATATGTAAAATTATTGATTAAAATTATTTGTAGTATCATATTCTGGATCATGAAAACTATGCACCCCATATTTACCCAAACACAAGTCTTATAAAAAACTGCATTTCATTTTATTTCCTCCACATAGGAAGTTTGCAATGGTATTTGTAGATTGGTTGTGTGTATTGGTGAGAACCACTCCAAGTGTATGTTAGAATGTCCAGAAGAATACAAGGAACCAGTGATGGAATTGACAAGGTTTATATTGGTAAGTTCTTTACTGTATTTATATCTGCCTCCTTTGTTTGTATGGTATTCATTTGACTATCTAGGAAGTGAGTTAGAGGAGTGCTATTGCCATAGATTGATATAATTTGTTCCTATTTCAGACTATTACT